GAACTTCATCAGGACTTCCATGATTTCCAAGAATTGAAATGAAAGGACTTCCCTGAACTTCAGCAGCCCTTCCATGAACTTCGACAGAACTTCCCACAACTTCGGTAGAACTTCTCTGAAGTTCGGCAGGACTTCCCTGAGCTTCGGGAGAACTTCTCTGAACTTCGGCAGGAGTTCCCTGAACTTCGGCAGGATTTCCCTGAACTTTGGCTGGACTTTCCCGAAGTTCGGCAGGCCTTCCCTGAACATCGGCAGAACTTCCCTGAACTTCAACAGAACTTCTCTGAATTTCCGCAGAACTTCCCTGAACTTCAGCATGACTTCCCTAAACTTCGGCATGAGTTCCCTGAATTTCATCAGGACTTCCATGATTTCCAAGAATTGAAATGACTCGGCAGGACTTCCCTGAACTTTGGCAGGACTTCCCTGAACTTCGGTAGAACTTCTCTGAACTTCGGCAGGAGTTCCCTGAACTTCGGCAGGATTTCGTTGAATTTGTCCCGAAGTTCGGCAGGACTTCCTTGAACTTCGGCAGGATTTCCCTAAACTTTGGCAGGACTTTCCCGAAGTTCAGCAAGCCTTCCCTGAACATTGGTAGGACCTCCCTATAGTTCGGAAAAAAAATCCCTGAACTACAACAGAACTTCTATGAATTTCCGCAGAACATCCCTGAACTTCAGCATGACTTCCCTGAACTTCGGCATGAGTTCCCTAAACTTCATCAGGACTTCCATGATTTCCAAGAATTGAAATGAAAGGACTTCCCTGAACTTCAGCAGCCCTTTCCTGAACTTCGGCAGAACTTCCCACAACTTCGGTAGAACTTCTCTGAACTTCGGCAGGACTTCCCTGAACTTCGGTAGAATTTCTCTGAACTTCGGCAGGATTTCCCTGAACTTCGGCAGGATTTGTCTAAACTTTGGCTGGACTTTCCCGAAGTTCGGCAGGCCTTCCCTGAACATTGGTAGGACTTCGCTATAGTTCGGAAAAAAATTCCCTGAACATCGGCAGAACTTCCCTGAACTTCAACAGAACTTCTCTGAATTTCCGCAGAACTTCCCTGAACTTCAGCATGACTTTCCTGAACTTCGGCATGAGTTCCCTGAACTTCATCAGGACTTCCATGATTTCCAATAATTGAAATGAAAGGACTTCCCTGAACTTCAGCAGCCCTTCCCTGAACTTCAGCAGAACTTCCCACAACTTCGGTAGAACTTCTCTGAACTTCGGAAGGAGTTTTTTTTTCTTTATTTTTGTGATTTTTAGCCGTAGGCTAGTTCATCACAGGAGTTCCCTGAACTTCGGCAGGATTTCCCTGAACTTTGGCTGGACTTTCCCGAAGTTCGGCAGGCCTTCCCTGAACATTGGTAGGACTTCCCTATAGTTCGGAAAAATTTCCCTGAACATCGGTAGAACTTCCCTGAGCTTCAACAGAACTTCTTTGAATTTCCGCAGAACTTCCCTGAACTTTAGCAGGACTGATCTTCGACAAGGCTTCTCTGAACTTGGGAAGGACTTTCGGTAGGGCTTCCCTGAACTTTATCGGGACTTCGCTGAAGTTCGGCAGGCCTTCCCTGCCTACGGTAAGACTTCCCTGAGCATTAGTAGGACTACCCTGAACTTGGAATCTTGGAATTGGAGTTGCCATTTCAGCAGTAGAATTATTCAAATCATACTATAAAATTGCGTTTACGAATATGTTCAAAATTTCAATACCTCCCATTTTTCTAATTTGCAATGCTTGTTGGTATTGGTGCATTTCGAATTTGGGTGTGGTTTGAACGGGTGTGGATTCAGTATCAACGGAAAAGCATTAACTTTCACCTTAAGGAAAACTATTTGGGAGTGAATAGATTTCCAATCCACGTTCAGAACAGGAAAAGCATGACAATTACCATTGCCGGTCAAGCTCATCTTCTCCGTTACGAGGAAAATAAAGAATGTTGTTGATTTAACATCTACTTAACTTGAGGCCAGCGACTCACCGACGCGACGTTCCCATAGATGCTACGGATTTGGATAGTTGGGTAGGAGATGGGTCAGGATTCACGTAAGCAGGCGATGCGACCATAGTTATTGCTTTGTTTTGGAGAAGCTTGGGAGTAAATCCACGATCTTCTACTCAATAAGCAAAAGCGGCAACCGCCAAGCTGGCCAGCTGATTAGTTCAAATTCCAATACTGATTAAAATAAAATTTTGCAAGCAAAAAGGAAGCATCTTAAGGTTCTACAAAGGGTCATTATTTTGTTTACTTCTTCTTTTTGAAATATTCTTCGATCATCATTTTCTAAATGTATTGGTAAAATTCATTGGAAGTGCATGTCCCCACGCCAAAACTGCCCATTTTTCATAAATATCAACTGGTATGGTGAGGAAAACTTAACCATCTCTTTTCTTCCTTCATTTCAATACAACAGCAAATGTGATGTCACACTATCTAGTGGATAAGAATGTAGCAGACAAAACATAAGCACTGCCAGACTGCGCTGTATGCAAGTTTGTTTACACCCCTGAGCGGGAAAGTGTATAACAGGCTACGTGCACTGCTGCCATCAACCCTGTTAGTGTTGAATTCAATCTTCTGTGACTTTTTTAATTGGACCGGTAAAATGTTTAAAATGGTCAATTATGTTTTATTTAATCAGTTTTTGATATTTATCCACCATTAAATACATCCACTCATCTATGTCAATAAGGCAGACTTCGCAATTAATTGTTTAAATAAACCTAAATTCATTGCTAGAGGCAATACATCTGGCACCGCTGTTTCAATGATACTTTCACGATTGCTAGCAAAGCAGTAAAGTAGAAATGGTTTTCTTTGTGATGAATTTTGTTCACCAAGAGTTTTGTGAAGCAGTTGTTTTGAGTTTCGTGTATTCGATTGCGTTTAATTGTGCTATACTTCGAAGAACACAAGTAAGTAAATACAGTGAATGTATTTTACCCAGGAAATTTTCGTGTTTTACCCACGAAATACATGTTTTAAATTTTCGTATTCATAATATATGAATGTATGTGTAAACTAATGATGATGATTTTATGATATTTAAAAAAGAAGACGAACACAAAATTACTTACCCTTTGTAGAACCTTAACCGAATATGTATGCAGGGTAGGTAGCGTGCCACTTTTTAGTGACTTGGTCACTTTTTTCAAGCCAGTCACTAAAAAGTCTCCAAAGTAGGCCAAGTCACTAAAGTAACTTTTTCTTGTAATCAGTCACTATTTTCACTATTTTTTAGCGTGAATTTCTTTCAAGATTGATCATTCTTTGCTTTGTGACGTCTTTCTCTATCTACAGGATGTCTACCTATTTTTCTAAATAAAATTACCTGATTTTTCCAGGTTTTTCCATAACTTTAACGGATAAATTCCAGGTTTATAATAAGAAAGCTATTTTATAAATGCGTTAAAAATAAGCTTTTTTTTGGTAGATCAAAAACAACAGCAAACGTTTTTAAGACTTGGCAATCAGTTTTAAAGAAACAGCTTTATAATCAAATCCATTAAAAGTTGAAGTTTAACACATATTAATTTCTCACTTAATGATGTAAAAAAAATAAAAAATACTTCGATTTGAGTAAGTCCAAGATCTAAAATTATTCAATATCTTGAAGTTTCGTATTCTATGTACAAGTTCGAGATATTGAAAATTTTCAGTGTACCGGAATCAAGGAAAAAATAAATGATTTATTTCAAGTTCGTAATTAATTTTATGAGAGATTAGAGATCTTCAATGCAGTCCCATGAACTTCACAACAATTGTAGGCACTTTGAAGAAGTATTGAGTAATGAAAAAAAAAATGCTGAGAATTTCAGTGAAGCTCCATAAACAAACTGCGGGAACACAAGGGAAGTCAATTCGCTAAAAGTATGGGGAACTTACTGGAAGCTTTATGAACCACAAAGCGGTTCTTTTAGCATCCGAAAAATTTCAAGAACTTTTATGAAGTTTCTTGATTTAAAGAGAACTTCACAGGTGTCAAACGAATTTGAGAATTTCTATATTTCTCAAGTTCGTTCCCCATGAGGGTTATTGTGCAAATTTTTAAGAAGTTCTACACTCATAAAATAAATCACATAACCAGTGGAAAATATGCATGTGAATTTCACATAACTTTCATGTGATGCAATAATTGGAAATTGCACCACTAAATCACAAGAATCTTATGTGTCCAATGAAATCTATATAATTTCTCATATAGAATTTCTTACGCTATGTGATATTCAGATAACAATCATTATTTTTGTTATTGGAAAAATATTATGTGCGTTCCTAATAGAAACTAAGTGAAATCTTTTTTCAGTGTAAGTATCTCAGAAAAACTAGATCTACACACTTAATCTAGTTCGGTGAAATCTCCAACAGCCGATTACCTCGGCATTTACTTTTGCTGATATCTCTGCAAAATATCTGTTTGTTAACTGATATCTCAGCAAAATGTTATTTGTTAGCTGAGTCTCGGCAATTGTTGTACTGAATCTCAGCAAAATAAATTGCAGAACTGCTCGGCTATTGGTATTTCGGCGAAAAAATTTAAGTGTGTAGAGATCTTTGGGGGATTTCAGATCTTAAGAGCAGTTTCCGTAGCTTTAGTTCAGACTTTTGAAGCAGTTTGAAGATCTATAATCGTAAATTTAGAAAAATTTAAGATAGTTCCATGATGTGCTGAAAAAAAAATCGAGAACCCTTAAGATGTTCCGATTCAGGGATGTACACAGATACCTTCAGAGAAATTATGAAAACTTCAGAAATATTTCAGGACGTAGGGAAAATGAATGTTATGTCGGCCTAAATGCCCCCAATTTGGGCACATACATAAATTCAGCAATCGACTAAATTTTCAGATTTTTAGCGATGGGCCCAATCTTAGATCCATAGGCCAACATTAGAAACATTTCCCCTATATTATATATTTTTTTAACTTATTGTTATTACAGTAGATATACAGTCAGATTCATAACCAAATAACCACACGTTTCCTTCAATTTTCAGCTACAACCAGGCTCCTGGCGGCTACCCTCCGCAGCCATATCCACCCCAGCAGCAGCAGCAGCAGCAGCATCAGCCATCGCATATGCCAATGCCCATGCCGATGCCCATGCCGAGCACGGCTCCCCCTAGCGTAGCTGCCCAAGCGATGATGAATCCCCCGAGCTACGATTCGGTCGTAACGGATAACTACGCCAAACAGGCACCGTACAATCCGCACTTTAGCGGACAGTAACCAAACGCGGCTCATGTGCTCGATCAGACGACGATTTGCTAGTCAAATCCCCACTATCTAGCTGGATTATGACCTCATTTTTCCTATATTTTCGTAAATTACCTGATCAAAAACATTTTTTTTTTAAATCACTACTTCATAGTCAGATTATGTTTAATTCATTAAGGCCATATAATCGTATGCTAAGACGAGATTAGTCATACATTCGATGTTAATAAAGTTGAAACAATACTTATGGGACGATGGATACATGTTGTGAAACACGGACTTGGTGAATCAAGAACGGTGAACTTCATTCCGTTGAGGGGTGAGCTAAATGGCAATCGAAGAGCTAGGACTGAGATATTGAGAGGGAACAAGAAATAAGCGCGACATACCTACCTACTATATACATTAATATAGAAACGTTATTCATATTTCAACAGCCAGAAAGGCACTTTGCAGGGGTAGATCCCCTGTAGCCAACCGAAAGAAAGAGTTTTAATTTGTTTATGTGCGGTTAATTGCAATTCCATATTAAATCAATAATCTACAATATAAGTGCATCGATGGATTAATGTACATAGAGACAACGATTGAGCCGGACGCGAACCGGAATCGATTTTATTTGGTACCTACTTCATGCACTTCATGTATCTTACACTCATTATGCAAATATACTGTTCTTTTCTTTTGATAAACGATAGACGCTTGAGGAGGGGAAGCATTTTCATATGATGACCATCCTGTGTTTCAGCAGTTGGTTTCGAACGGTAAATTCCGGGGATTGGCGAGTGTCTACGGACGGGTCATACCTCAGAACATCCCGGCGGTGCCGACTGGGATTGAACCTAGGCCTGCTGGGGTGAGAGGTAACTCACACATACATTTGATTGGATTCCGATTGCATGTAATAAGGGTGGGTGAGCCAGTAGTGAAAATACTAAGCCAATTTATTAATTAAGCAAAAATATACGATGTATACACAATTGTTATATGTCAATCTATAGCTTTCAACCCTAAGGCTAAAAATCTCTTAAATAATGTTAAAAAAAAAATATGTATAGCTTTCAACCTCTATTTTGATAGAAACATGTTACATTGTAATAAAATTGCATACAATTTTAGAAAACTCATCCTCCATTAATAGGAACACTGTTCCAGTAGTTGTGGTAGTTGCTAACTTTGGTTCCTATGATAGTGGAATGTGTTGGTCTCTTATGGGTTCCACTATTATAGGAACACTACCGCAACTATACTGCCCATAGTCGCATATCAGTCCCATATGGATAGGAAATCAAGCAAAGATGGGACTGATATGCGATTATAGGTAGTATAGGTGCAAAGGAGTGACAATCTTAAGGAAATTTAATGATTTTCCGTAATTTTTGGGCTAATTTTAAGTTTGGAATATGCAAATATGCTTTATTTTAGGACAGCTACCGATGAAAAATAATCTTATTCGGGTCCTCCTCACTATTCCGGCATAACCTCCATACCGCAACTATACTACCCATAATCGCATATCAGTCCCATCTTTGCTTGATTTCCTATCCATATGGGACTGATATGCGATTATGGGCAGTATAGGTACACCACTATTACTGGAACACCTACCCTATGTGTCTCACACATAAATTTCATTTGCGTAATCACATTGCAAAAATCTATGTGTATGACACATAACCGAAATTATGATCAATTCTCTCAGAATGGAGCCCAGGGCTGAAAGTCTCCTTAATAGATATAAAAAAAATCTCACAGTGTGGTAAAGATTGAAAATCGGAGCATCACAAATCTTGCATGAGACTTGACAATCGGGTAGCGATTTCGAGCCAATTTGCTGTCAAATCCGAGCCAGTTGCTGATAGGTCGATTTGACAGTAGCAATCGTGGAATAAAAAGGACAGAGGGATCAAATCTATAGATAAGCGGAAGCACAAAAAGTTGTTTAGGCAACAATGAGAAAAACTTGTATTAGGGTTTTTGATCTAATTTCCGTCCTACTAAGCACAACCCGTGCTTTACCTCTCTTTTCTGAACGAATTTAAACAAAAAATGGAATATTTCTATCAAAGATGACTTGCAAATTTATTCACCTTTCCATACGTACCGTTGGATTTGATAAAGAGTCACAAATTGATTAGATATTGTCAAAAATCTAGCACTGCTTCTTGCTTCTAAATTCGTTCTACGAGTTTCAATTCCGTCCTAACGCATTGAAACGCCATTAGATTTTCTTCGTCCAACGGATAAACGTAGAAAAAGGGGATTCGCTAGGAGCGCTTCTTTTGTTTTGAGAACAATGAGCGTAAATATTCATACAATGCGGTCTAACAGGGTTTATGTTGTAGCTAATGAACTAGCGCATCGGAACAAACCTATTATTGATTTGTGCACGGTAAAGTCATTGATATTATTGATCGATAGAACGGAAATGGGCGATTACTACGAAGTAGCGCTCTACCCTACTGGCATCCGTGAAAAATGTTCATGCCATCATAGAGCTCTTTATTGTGCAGTTAGGTTTTGTTTTCCTTCGTGCGCAAAAGTTCAAAATTAAGTGCAAAGTAAATCTTTGTAACAATGAATCGAGGAGAGGTTTTCCTTCTTCTGTTTTCCGTAAAATAAATCGGAATGTGAAGTGTGGAAAGCGTTTTGTCAAAGATATTTAATGAACAAGATATTCCACTAATCAATTCCTCGAACAAGGCAATGGATACACCACCCTTATGTGATCGCAGTGCCATCTAGTGAGTGCACATTGAAGCTGTTGGGAGTCCCCCGTCAACTTCACCACCAGGGCTCAGTTAATGACAGGTGTCAGTATGACAGATGCCAGCCGAGGGAAGAAGATGATCGATGTCATCATCATTATATTTCGACAGAAAAATCCTTACTTTGTTATGATTGCATCGATTTTCAATCATTACCACGTTATACCAACAATCAATACGAAACTAACGATTTTAAATTGGCTCACTACTTGACTAGCCTATTGGTCCCAAGCAAACGATTAACGTACCCCATTCTAGTCGAAATTCTACTACTACACAATGTTTGTTTTGATTCGCTATGAAAGTTTGACAGATAAAATGAGGGGTTATTGGATTTTCCTATGTTTCGAGGGGTGATTCGACTATTTAGCTTGGGACCGAAGATAGTACCGTTCAACGTTGTATCATAGAGGTAACTCTAAGACTAGACTGCATTGATTGTTGGTTGTATTTATCGTCACAAACCTATTGGCGCTGTTATCTGTCTCTATAAATTCCAAAGAGTGAAGGGGGTCTGGTTTTATGCTCATAATATAACAAAACTTCTTCCGTAAAAAAAAACCATGATGACGTCATGCTCGTTTGGTTACACTAACTGACAGTTCGTTTCGCTACATTCTACTTTGCCTCCGCTTACCTATGGAATCTACACTCGAATCTACATCTATACATGTATAGTATCTATAATCACATCACTCTAACTGGCAGTGATGCCGGAATCAATGTTGACGTCAATGACGTTGTTAATTGTTAATATTTGCGAAATTAAAGTTGGAAAATAGGGTCCACGGCGATAGAAATTCTTGTTTTTTATGGTTGTTTTTATTGTGTTAAGCAAAAATGATGTACAAGGTGCTAAACTGCGGTAGAAACTCCGAATCCAATTGAAATTAAAATAGAAAAATCATTCTGCAATCCTGGCATCATCGGTCAACACCGGCAAACACCATGCACTAATTTTCGACGGGCATTCATCAAAAACATTAAAAAGTGTGAGAAGCTGGATTGTCAAGTCCCGTCCCGGTCACAAATAAGTAAGAATCTTGCTATCGCAATCTATCGTCCTCTAATGCTATCGTCCTCTTCCCTCGGCTGATCATCAACGTCCGCGTTAACATCTGTCATGCTGACACCTGTCAGTTATTGAACCCTGGTGGTGAAGTTCACGGGGAACTCCCATCAGTTTCAATGTGCACTCAACAGATGGCACTGCGATCACATAAGTGTGGTAACTATATGCAGACCCCCTTCACTCTTTGGAATTTACAGAGACAGATAACAGCGCCAATAGGTTTGTGACGATACAACGTTGAACTGCAGCGTTGGAAGAAAACACACACATCAACATCTATGCATGTACGAACCCACACCACTGAGCGGAGGGTACAGCACAAATCAAAACACGAAGCGGTGTCATCACTCATCGTCATCACTCAGCTTTTGCAGCTTTAGTTTGCGATTTCGCTGGCGTTCACAAATACCTTCTTTATAAAATAGGAAAGTAATCATTATTCCAACGTAATTTTTTATTTGAATGCGTGCAGCGCTTTCCAAGGAAGAAGTAAGGATTTTTCATCTTCTTCCCTCGGCTGGCATACTGACACCTATCATTAACTGAGCCCTGGTGGTGAAGTTGACGGGGGACTCCCAACAACTTCAATGTGCACTCACTAGATGGCACTGCGATCACATTAGGGTGGTGTATCCATTGCCTTGTTCGAGGAATTGATTAGTGGGATATCTTGTTCATTAGATATCTTTGATGCTACACACCAAATTTAAATCGCTGAAAATCAGCAAAATTTTGCTGATTTTAGACTTGATGAAATATCAGCAAACTTTCCAGCAAAATAATGCTGCTGATACTTCCAGCAATTTGAACTTCTGTCAAAATTGCAACACTTTACTGAATCTTCAGTGAATTTGTATTTTGTTTGCTGAATTTGCAGCATAAGAATAGATGACAGCTTTTAACTGATTTTCCAGTAATTTTCAGCAAAATATTACTGAATCAACAGCAAATTTATTTATTTTCGTTGTTACTGATTCTTCAGCAAGCTTCGATTTTATATTGCTCTACCAGCAGAATTTTCGTTTTGCATTTTATCAATAATATTATTAAAACACAGTTCATAGTATAACAAAGCATATACGTATTTCATTGGTTTATTGGTTTTAAAAAAGAACTGGAACATGTTTGTTTTGCCGTCTACGTTTTGCAAACGATACCTGCAAAACCATAAGGTTTTTTATCAATAAAATAGCTCAACCAAATAATTCCTTGACATACCTCCTATCTGCCGTGAACTTATGGACAACAATTAACATTTCCAGTTCATTTTTTACACGAAACCTCAAAAATTTATATAATTATTAAAAATACACATCGTGTCTGGAATCGCGGGAACGAAAAATAAAAACTTAATAGACCAAGTTGAAGTTTGTTGTCAGATAGCGTAGACAGGTTTGCGTGATCTGTCATTTGAGTGCTCGGCTTACTGATCATCAGCAAATAATCTGACATTTGCCTGTTTTACTGGATTTCTGCAATAAAAATACTAATACTGAATTCCAGCAAAAAAATATTTTACTGAACCCATTTCAGCAATTTTTATTGCTGAAAATCAAAATCGAAATTTGGTGTGTACACACCAAATTAAAATCGCTGAAACCCAGCAGAATTTTGCTGATTTTAGACTTGATGAAAGGTCAGCAAACTTTCCAGCAAAATAATTCTGCTGAATTTTCCAGCAATGTCAAAATGACAAAATTTTACCGATAATCAGCAATAACAAATTCTGACAGCTCATAGCATTATGCTGAATAAACTCAGTAAATTGAATTTACTTTCACTTGGGGCTGGCAGCTTCTGTTGAATATTTTTGATACAAATACACAAATAATAAAGACAAAATCGCCAGGAC